CTATAGGCTGAGTATCCTCTCTGAGATTCTCTTTAGAATTGAAGATGGCTATGAAAGGCCAGCTCTGCACTGAGGGTTATAGAAAGTCTGTCACTGAAATGTGAACTAAGTGCAATAGAAAGGGGGGTGGAGAGGAGGGAGCCTTAAAAAGTCCCGGGGTGGGGGAGGGAATAGACAAAAACCTACCTTACGGGTACAATGCTCCATCTGGGTGACCGGCACACTCACAACCAGGACTCCAGTGCTATGAAAGCTATTCATGTAACCAAAAATATTTGCATGCCTGTAATACTTTGAAATTTTAAAAACCCTGAGATTAAAAGATGTTTAATATCTAAATAAAATAAAATAAAACAAAATAAAATAAGTAAAAAAATAAAAAGCCTCCACTGGAAAGACAGCTGGCAGTGGGTTCGGATTACAGATTTACAGGGGAAGTTAGTGTTTGGGTGGATGATTGGATGCATGGGTGAATGGATGGATGGATAGATAGATAAATAGGTAAAAATAAAAGAGAAAACCTGAATATGAGAATATTTGCCTTTTTAAATGAAAAATTGGCCAGCATTTCCATTCGTGCTTGCTGAACTGGTGACATCAGGGACTGGCAGCCAGTCCTCCATTGACGTCAGCAGGAGCAGACTGAAATCTCCATGGCAGAATGCTCCCCGGCCCTGATAAATGGGGCTGGTAATTGAATTAGAAAACATTCTGAGTCATGAGCTAATTATGCTGTTCAGGCAGTTGCTTTGTCCAGATCTGTTTCATCCTTGAACCGCTTGAATGACTTTCCCACTAGGAGGGCCTGTATTTCAGTCTCCATGGTGGGGTGTAGGTTTTATGTCTCCCTAAATTCTGCTGTCTGTGCTGGCCTAGCATTGCAAACTGGGGTCAGGGGGTCCCTGTCCAGCCCTGAGTGGGGAGCTCTGCATCACTAGAGCAATGCTTGGGCATTTCACTCTATTACAGACACTGTATGAGTTTTGATAGGCGTTAGTTTTGTTCTGTGATTCAGTCTGATCTTTGTTTCCATGATGTAAATGTGTACACACACATTGCTCCAATGCTCAACTGCTCTTTCTTCAGCAATAATACAAGAAACAAATTCAAAGTGCCCAGTCATGCTTAACATTTTTTTTTTTTTTTTGAGACAGAGCCTCAAGCTGTCCCCCTGGGCAGAGTGCCGTGG